CCGGAATGCAACAGCACGGTCTCAGCTCACAGCAACCTCCGCTTCCCGGGTTCAAGAGATTCTCCTACCTCAGTCCCCCGAGTAGCTGGGATTACAGGCATGTGCCACCACACCCAGCTAATTTTGTGTTTTTAGTAGAGATGAGGTGTCACCATGTTGGCCAGGCTGGTCTCGAACTCCTGACCTCAGGCGATCTACCCACCTCAGTCTGCCAGAGTGCTGGGATTACAGGCATGAGCCACCACACCCGGCCGACAGGCTGGCTTCTTAATGAGAGCCCACGACGATTTATGGAGCACCCAGTTTCCAGGTACAGCACTCAGGCTCACAGACCTTCCTTTGTGGCCTCATAGAAGAAGCATCTAGGGTGAATGTTTGCCATTTTTTTTTTATGCTCCCGTTTTGACAAATGGAAAGAATTAATTCCTGCTTTTAACGTTATCTGAAATGTTAAAATAAAGACTGTGAATGATAAGGAGATTGGATATGCCCAAACCTGGTTAAGAGTCTCTGCTCTAGACTGAGCTTCTCAAGTGCCAGTACTGCCCAAAACTCTCAGGTGTCTGGCAAATCTGGATTTGAAGCCTGACCTGATCGCTCGCAGGTTATGGACCTCAGGTGAGCTTCTTACCTTCTCTCAGCCTCTGTCCCCCTTCTCTGGAAAGGTGATTATGACACCTGCCACTTAGGGCTGCTTTGCAGATTCCGTGAGGCACTTAGCACCACTGCCAGTTACATAAAAAAACAAAAACAAAAAGCCCTGAAAACTTTAATCCTAATAATGGCCTTAGGAGGTAGACTAACCCCTATGCCCCCCATTTTTTAGATGACAATACTGAGGCTCAGATATACAGTTCAATAAGTTGCTTAACCTAAGCACAGACCAGGGCTCACTGCCAGGCCTTGTGACTCCAAGTCAGGGCCCTGGCCAAGTGTCTGCAGGTGAGCAGGAGATTTAGAGTCACCTTCTCCTCCACCTGAGTCACAAGGCCCTAAAAAACAGGGTCAGGGGTGATTTGACTCATGTGGCTCTGCAGGACTTTTTGGATCTAGTTTCCTTAGCACTAGTTAAGCAAGTGCCATATTGAACAGCTTTTGTGTGTTCTGTGGACTCCCTTCAGTTTCTCTCTTGTCCAGTTGGCCCAGTTGGCCACAAGCTTTATTTCAGAGATGAGACCAAGTCTCTTATTCCTTCTCAAACAGCCACTAGCCTCAGAGAAATCACCTGCATATCACATGAATGGCTTTCTTTTCTTTTTTTTTTTTGAGACGGAGTCTCGCTCTGTCCCCCAGGCTGGAGTGCAGTGGCACAATCTCGGCTCACTGCAACCTCTACCTCCGAGGCTCAAGCCATCCTCCTGCCTCAGCCTCCCAAGTAGCTGGTATTACAAGCCTGCACCACCACACCCGGCTAATTTTTGTAGTTTTAGTAGAGACAGGGTTTCACCATGTTGGCCAGGCTGGCCTCAAACTCCTGACCTCAGGTGATCTGCCCACCTTGGCTTCTCAACGTGCTGGGATCACAGGTGTGAGACACCACGCTTCGCCCCACGAATGGCTTTTAATGGAGACCTTCCCTGCAGTCTCTCATTTGAGCTTTAAGTTTCACCATCCAACTTTTTACCACATTGGCAGAAAAAAAAAGAAAAAGAAAAAAAAAGGAAGAACCGAAATAGACTTCACTGTCTGTTCCCCTAAGTTCCTTACAGTTGTGCCCTTCCTGTAATCGCTGAACCCGTCAGCCTCAGTTCCCTCATCCGTAAAGTGAGGACATTAATATTGGCCCTGCCTGTTTTGTGCATCAAAATAAATGAGACGCTGTGTGGGAAGACCTTTTGCAAACTTTAAGGCAGTTTTCCTCCTCTCTGACTCTCTCTCCTATGATGCAGCCTGAATTGATTCCTTCCTCAAATGATAAGTAGGACTGAGTCTTCTGTTCTTTGCAAAGCATTTCTCAGCACACCTGCCCAGCTGCATGAGCTGAGAGGAAATCAGCATATTAAGGAGGAAGAAACAGTGCCTCCTGCTGAAGACTTTACCGCTTCTAGCACCTGTTAGGTAAATCTCTATTTATTGGGTTCCAAGCTAAATTCACTCTAAAAGACCTTGAATCTTCTCTCTTATCAGTTTTCAGCAATGAAGTTTTGGTTGAGAAACTGAATGCACCTGAGCCTCATTTTTAAAATGTGACAACACTTGCCTCGCTGTGTGGTCATGGCGTATCAGGACATGCTATGGTTGGCAGTCAAAGCACGTGACTTTTTCTTGTCCCACTGGACTTTTCTCTCCCTTCAGTTTACCCTTTTTTTTTTTTTTTAAATTTAAGACGGTGTCCTGCTCTGTCTTGCCCAGGCTGGAGTACAGTGGCATGATCTCGGCTCACTGCAGCCTCTGCCTCCTGGGTTCAAGCGATTCTCCTGTCTCAGCATCCGGAGGAGCTGGGACTACAGGCACCCACCACCGTACCTGGCTAATTTTTGTACTTTTAGTAGAAACAGTGTTTTACCATGTTGGCCAGGTTGGTCTCGAACTCCTGACCTCTGGTGATCCACCTGCCTCGGCCTCCCAAAGTGCTAGGGATTACAAGTGTGAGCCACTGCACCTGGCCCAGTTTACCCTTCTAAATCTCTGTGCCTCAGCTTGCTTCTCCATAAAATGGGGATAATAATCTCTGGACTACTTAGTTCACAGGGTTGGTTGTGTGACTTTGAAATAAAGGCTGTGGTGGGGAACTGAAGATGGTGAAATGTAGTAGCAATGCCTCAGTGAGGTTATTAGATGGCCTTGGCCTGGTGGGTCATGTGCCGGTTCTCAAAGGCCTGGCCTGTTGTCTGCGGCAACCACATTTAGAAGGTCCCTTAGTATAGCTGCTCTTACCAGCTCCTCCTGAGGCCCCTGACACTCTCCCATCTCCCTGCAAGGCTCTGCAGTCTCCTTACACCTGTTAACCCCATGCCTCACCCCCGTCTGTCTCTCTCAGTCCCCCTCTGGATCACAAGGCACAAAACCATCCACCACTATTCTCTGGATGCAGAAATGGTGCCTGCCCCAATCCTGAGGGCTGTCAGAAGCTGCCCATCACATGACATGCTCAGCCCCACTCCCCCAGCTAACCCTCATGAATAAATACTAAAAAGACTCATTATGGAGAGATAAGGAAAACAGGAAGTGCTTCTGAAAGCTCCCAACAACACTCCCCCCCCAGACCAGTGAACAACCCCACCCCCTCCAGAGGCCACCAGTGTCTTTAGCAAGGAGGCCCCCTCTGCAGTTGAGGAAGAGCCTCTGTCTTTCAAACCCAGAGGGGACTGTGGGGCCTGGAGCCGGGAGGGCAGGCCAGAGGCAGGGGAGCTAAGTTGCTGTATTCTGGGCACAATTTCAAGGCCAGCTGCAGGGAGAACAAGCAGTCGCTGTGCGCCTGCAGCTGGCTGTGGTTAGGCCAGGGCTGTCCCTCACTTGTGGTATATTTAAAGAGACCCCACCAGACTGCCGTGCCAAGGGGAAAAAATGCACACATAACCCTGTTAGCCACACTCGGTTCCCCTGCCAAGGCCTCTCCTCCTTCCTCAGCTCCCAGCACTGCGTTCACACATCAAGAGAGGAGGACCGTCTTCTCAGACTCTCTGTGTACCACCTGGGGACACACACCCTGGCGCCTGGCCTCTCTGCCCTCTTACCAAGCTGGCCAAAAGTTCAGGGGATCAGCCAGATCGGCGCCTCCCACCCTGGCGTTGGTCACCCAGCAACCGAAGGGGAGAGGCAGGCAGATGAGTCAAAGGCAGCCGCACAGAACCTCTGGCTTCGTGTTTTGTTTGTGAAAACTCCCTGTGAGTGAGGAGCACAGGGGCCCTTCCGGCAGGGAGCGGCAGGGCTTTCCTACACTGCTCCGGGCCACATGTGCCTCCTCCAAGGGAGGCCCAGGCCCCACTGGATTGCAGTGCAGGTTTAGAGGCCAAGCTGGTGGGCCAACAGGAGCCCACCCTGGCTGAACTCTCTGGCTGCCTCTTCCACTTGTTTTCCTCGAGTGAAAACAAGACTACAGGCCTAAATCTCATGGGAAGGTAGGCCCGGTAGCAAGAACTCTGGACAAGAGAACCCATGGGCGTAAAGTCCCACGGAGCAGGTGTGCATAGAAGTTTGGACTTTCAGGTGGCCAGAGACCAAGGAGCTATCCTCAGAGCAATCAATGAGATGGCTTCCGGAGCGAAGCCCAGCCAATGTGGGGTGAGAGGGTGGGAAGTGGGCAGCTTATCAACCAGGGGAGGGGAGCCAGCAGGCAGACTGTCTGAGGCAGGCCCCTACAAGTGCCGGAAGAGTGAGTGAAACACAAGTGCACCAACAGGATTGGCTACATAATTGGTGGGGCCTAGTTCAAAATGAAAATGCCAGGTTCTTTGTTAGAAAATTATCAAGGATTGCAAGAGAGTGACAGAATAGCATGAAACCAAGGGCCCTTCTAAGCACAGGGACATTTTGTGACCACAAAGGTTGCATACCCACAAAACTGACCCTGGGTAACTGTGAGTCAGCTCCTTGAAGCAGATGTGAAAATCAAGGCAGGTCAGCTGGGGGATGTCTGGCTGCAGCTCCTATACTCCCCACCCCTGCTGCCCTGTAACACCAGTTCTCAGACTTTTACCAGGCTTGGGACATTGTCTCTTCGATAGCAGCCCCTCTCCCTGTGCTGACGGCAATGGAGACTTTACCTCTCAGAAAAGAGGCAATCGCAAGGCCATGGAAGGAGGGCTGAGGGCTGGAATGAAGTGTGGCTCAGGGGTATTGGGGCCTCTGAGTTCCAGAGCCCCCCAGGGATTCTCTAGACAGGTCATTGGAGCCTTCTGAGTGAGGGTATGGAGGTGTTTTGGAACAGGATGGAGAAACAACACAGACTACGCTGTGGGTCACCTCTTAAGGTCCCGAGAGGATACATCCTGTGCATGTGTGACCATCCAGGAGCGGAACCAAGATCCAGGAAGCCTTCTCCCCACTTGGGAACTTACCTCCAACTCAATGTGGTCATGCAGTTTCTTGCAGGTTGCTGCAAAAGTCTCCGAGGTACCAAATTCAAAGTACCACAGCTTGTTCTTCATCCTGGACCACAAAGCAGAGAGATGCCTCAATATTCCATACTTGAAATGGTCATGTAAAATAACTACGTTCTTTGGATTGGGAGGTCCGAGCCTTCAGCAATTTCCCCAATCTTACATTTTCTGCACTTGTTAATCAGATGATCAAGGAATAGAAATTTTTACCAACTGTTCTTGCTCAGAACTTAGAGAAAATCCACTTATTTCTTAGACATCACGGCAACCCTGGGTGAACTACCAACTGCTCCCCGAGCTTCCTGGTCCGAACAGGAAGAAGGTCTCTGTAGCTGCATTAAGGAAAGAGTTCTATGAGAAGTCAAGCCAGAGGTGGCAAATATCGATACAGTGCTCTGGTCACTGTCCTTTCCATTACTCAGGCAGAATTCTCTTTTGGGTATGTTTGGGGTGTAAAGGGAAGATTCTTCTAAGACTTGAGGGATGTGCAGTCTTAGGACAGAGGAGGGATAGCCCCACACTAACCCAGCTAAAATGCGTGTTGCATTGTCCAGGCTGTGATTGGGGGAAGCAGAGTGGCAAGAGTTAGATACAGATTTGCAGCCAAGAAAAAAAGAAGGGTTGATTGGTGGTAATAATCACCTCCCCCCTTCCTCAAATGTATTTGCTTAGGCCATGGCAATCCTTCAGTTAAGAGCAAGCCTTGTCATATTTGCTTCATAGTAAGAGTTCACTACTTTAAGCTTTAAAAATTTTCAGCCTTTTCCTTAAGAGAGAGAAAAAAAAATCAATCAATGGGGTTCTCATGTAGCTGGGGGCTTTGCAAAATCAGATGGTGTGTCCTGACACTTGGTGCTTTGGATCAGATGGTCTCACTAGGAAATGTTTCTGAAGGTATTCCATTCCTTCCACCCCAACTGTTACCCCATTATCAGAGGTTGGCTAAGAGAAGGGACACCTGTCCAGTTTATGAGCTGACAGATTTTGCTAAGGAAGGATTAAACAAAATCACATTCTTCTTGGCACTCAGAAGAGAGGATGCCACCTTGCATGGTGCTAATCCTTTCTCCTCAGGTTTGCAGACGAAGGGGAAAGGAGCAGTCTTCAGAGGGAAGAGGGCTCTTATTTTTTCCTCATCTTCCTTAGGTTGTAGCAGATGACTCTCCAGAATAGTAGACACAACTCTTTTCTGCAGATTTTCCCAAGAGTCTACCTAGAACTTGAAGATGAGACTGTGTTTTTCCATTGTATGAAGACTTCTGAGATCTAGTTGGTTGGGAAATAACTTTTCTGACTCTTAGTATGCATGAAAAGAACTAATCAATGATGAAGAGAGTAAGAGTAAGCAAGCTGTGGGAATTATGTCTCATGAACAAAGTTAGAAGAGTTGGGTATACTGTAAGCAGACCAGTGCTTCTCAACCCATGTGCTGTGTGTGGCACAGGCATACTTGGGATGTCAATCTCCTCAGCCTGCAGAGTGGCCAGGTGGGATCTGGGACAGGCTGAGCCCCAACGCCATGGCAAACATTCTCATTTGTATTCCCAGTGCGCCATACGTAGATTTTCATTTTCTGTGCACGCCACGATGATGGGAATAATTGCAGGAAACATTGTTCTAGATCACTGATTCTCTGTGTGCACAGTAATGTGAATGTCTAATCACTTGGGGATTTTATGAAGACGCACATTCTGATTCAGTGGTTTAGGGTTAGGGCCCAAGATTCCTCATTTTCAGTGCTGCTGGTCCAGGGGATACTGTGAGTCATGTGGACCTGGAGACTGTGCCTGTGGTTCTCAAACATTGGTATTTGTAAGAATTACCTGGGAAATATGATTAAAATGCTGCTTCCAGGACTCCAATCTATAGAGATTCTATGAGATAGTTGGGGAACGGGGCCCAGGATTGTGCATTTTTGTGTGTGTCCAAGTGATCATTATGCAAACGGTCAGTGGACAGGACTGAGAAACACTGCTGTAGATCCCAGTGAAATGAAAACGTGGAAAAGGACAGAACCAGTTAAACCTGAAGGAGAGGATTCTCCAGGGAGGACAGAATGAGGGTCAGTGCCTTTCCACAGTCAATGATGGCAAAAGACTAAGGAACAGGAAAAACACAGATTGTCATAAATACCAAAGCTGAGCATTCCTTTTTGGCAGCAAGAGGATCTCTGGAGCCAGGAGACTTGCTTGTGATTCCATTTTCAAATATCACTGCTGGCCTGAATCATGACTTTTGAAAGTTATTGCCAGGAGATTTAGAGTTTTAATAAAAGTTTCCGGAAGCCACAGCTATTTTCGCCCAGTAGTAGCTCTTCTGATGAGCTAATAAAGGTTAAGAGGTCATGGTTAGGTCAGCATCGCAGAATAACTGAGAAGATCAAACGGACTACTCATTCACTGCTGGCTGTGTACCTTTGACAAGTGATTTAACATTTTTAAGCCTCAGTTTCCTCATCTCTAAAATAGAGGTAAGAAAAATATCTGCTTCAAGAGGTAGTTGAAAAGTTAAATGAGATGACAGCAAAGGACTTCACATAGGCTTGCTGTATAGAAGGCTCGTCAAGAATGCCAGCTACTTACTTATTAGCTATTATTATTTCAGTGTCTTGAGCTAGCATATTTGGATAACATAGTGAGGCAAAGATGACAGATAAGGATGTGTAGCTACAGATATTATATATTAATATTTTTCTGGGCAAGAAAAATGTGATCATATTTATTACATTATGTGCCTTGACTTTTGGTGAAAAAAAATATGCTCCCCATATGTCTAGTTTAATAGATTTTTTCAGAATCATAGCACACCCTAATCCTTGATTAATTATCTTGACTGGTCACACAATTGGCCAAAGTGATGTTAATTGCTAATATACTTCTGAGAAAGTGCAGGTTTGGTGTGAGACGAAGTATTCATCAATTCAACAGACATTCATCGTGCCAGGGACTAGAGAAGGTGTGCTAGGTACAACAAAGAACAAAATAGCATTCCATGCATTGGACATCTGGGAAAGACAGACAGGAAGCAGACCACAGTGTGGTCAGCCAAGAACCAGGCACCGGGGTTCGTAGCGAGAGAGACACCCAGTTCTTAGAAGGATGTAGAAGGCAAACATGGAAGGTGGAGAAAAAGCATTTCAGGCAGACAAAGAAGCTAGGCCATGGGACAGGCAAGAGAGAGAATAGTCTTGCCGGAGGGGACACAGAACTTAAGGTAGGGCTTGGCCAGGTAAGGCTGGAGGCAGACAGGAGCAAGACTGTGAAGGATGGGCATGCCACACTTAGGGGTTTGTGCTTTATCTTAAAATCTGGTGGGGCGTGACGGCTCATGCCTGTAATCCCAGTGCTTTGGGAGGCAGAGGCAGGTGGATCACCTGAGGTCAGGAGTTCAAGACCAGCCTGGCCAACATGATGAAACCCCGTCTCTACTAAAAATGCAAAAATTAGCCAGGTATGGTGGCAGGCACCGGTAATCCCACCAGCTTGGGAGGCTGAGGTGGGAGAATTGCTTGAACCTGGGAGGCAGAGGCTGCAGTGAGCTGAGAATGCACCACTGCACTCCAGCCTAGGTGATAGAGTAAGACCCCCATCTCAAAAAAAAAAAATTCTATTGGGAGTCATGGACCGTCCTCAAGTGGTATGGGAGGGGGAGGTGGTGACAGTATTGACCTGATCAGATTTAGGTTTTTAAAAGATCATTCTGTTCCAGTTGTGGAGAAGGGACTGGAAAGGGAGGTACAGACTGCAAGTTTGGAAAATAGTTTGGAGGTGGTGTAGAAATCCAGGAGATAGCTGGGAAGGGCCTGAACAAGGGTCATGACAATAGTATTAGAAGAGAAGAGCAGGGGAGAGTCACAAGCTAAAATTTAGGAGTTATTTTAGCTTACGGAACAAAAAAGAGGGGTCATAGTGATGGCCAAGTTTTGTCTTAGACAGCATGATAGATGGCAGGTGTCATTTCCTGACAGAGGGGCACAGGATATTGATTCTCCTGTGGCAGTCATCTTTGTAACCGAAAGACAACACTTTTGTGTTTGGTTAATCTTTTCATTCATCCATCCATCCATTGAACATTTATGGACCCCTACTATGGGCCAGGTGCCCCTACTATGGGCCAGGAGATAAGTGATGAATAAGACAAGCAAGACCCCGCCCCCACCACCCCCCCTTTTTTTGAGACAGAGTTTCATTCTGCCTCCCAGGCTGGAGTGCAATGGAACAATCTTGACTCACTGCAACCTCTGCCTCCCGGGTTCAAGCGATTCTCATGCCTCAGCCTCCTGAGTAGCTGGGATTACAGGCATGTGCCACTATGCCCAGCTAGTTTTTATATTTTTAGTAGAGACGGGGTTTCATCATGTTGGCCAGGTTGGTCTTGAACTCCTGGACTTACGTGATCTGTCCACCTTGGCTTCCCAAAGTACTGGGATTACAGGCATGAGCCACCATGCCCGGCTGAGCCTATACGCTTTTAATAGCTTCACCAAGACCTAACATTGAACCTCTGGCCCATGAGGGACGTGGCTTTTACATATGTTCAAAATGGAAATGCTTCTGTTTCTCCTTTTTCAATGCAGGCACTTTTTGGCTAGAAGTGAATGCATTCTATTCCCATGGCCCTTTGTTTTGAACTCTGCTAAACATTTTACACACACCATCTCCTTCTCTGAGAACCTACCAGTTCTCAGAAGAAGCTTACTGGTAGGTTACTCTAGGATTTCCTTATTGCTACAAACAAGGACATTCACAGATGGAAGTGAATTCTTCTCTGCCTCATCTTCCTTTTGCTTTATCATCACCAGCACACCACCATCACCACCCATTTCCAAAGCCTTTAGGAAAAGCCTATAGACATGTGGTACCCTGCAGTTTGAGCTGGGAGATGCAGTCCCCACTCTCCCTGACCACCAGAGAGCCTGAGTGCAATGTTCCTTCTTCTCTTTTGAAGATGTCTCCCCAGCTACTTTACTCTTAGCCCTTGTAGGAGGACCATTGCTGCAAAATGTGGCACTGAGTGTCTGTTTCATCTTCTATTGTACAAGAATATGGC